CGGGTGTTGTAGGGGAAGAGCTGGAGGAGGCCATTGCAATAAATAAATCTCTTTCAGTGCTACATGCTGTCATTAGGGCTACAGCAGATGATGCGGATGTGTTGCCCGTACGAGAATCCATCCTAACTCTCTATCTTGCTTCGACTCTCACTGATTGCTATCTTCTCCTTATTGCAACTGTATCCGTGGAGAAAAGGGATTATGCTGAGACAAAGAACTCTCTTGACTTTGCAACCACGGCAAAAAGATGTGCTCTGACAAAGAGCAAAAGCCGCGCAAGAGATTTTCTTATGAATGGAACAAATAGTTTTGAGGAAACCTACACGCATTTGATGAAAGAGGTGGAAACATTACGTCGTCGTGTGTGCACACTTCAGGAGGAAGTAAATATTGAAAAGCAGCGCTCTGCTCTTGTATCAAAGGATGACAGTCTCAATAAGACGCCCGCAAAGGCAGCCAACAGATGTAAGGCCGATGATAATTCTGTGCTAGTTGAGGAAAACCCCGAGGCTGCGAGAATGCGCCGGCACGTCCTGGAGTTGGAGCGTCAGTGTGCCGTTTTTCAGAGCATTTTGCGTGATCGGGAAAATGAGTTAAACGCATTTGAATCACGAGGGGATATTGCAGAGAAAGTACGTCGGGAACTACAGCAACAGGCGAGGGAAAGAGAAGAAGCGCAACGAGCTCTTGAAGAGGCGGCACCTCAGTTAGAAACAAGTGAATTACTCCGGAAGGTGACTGACACGATTGTGTGGATGCAGGAGCAGCTGGATGGTGTATGTCAACAGAAAAAGTTCATGATGAAAGCAATGGAAGGAATGCGATGTGAACAGCACCGGATTATGACGGATCTTCTGGAGGCCCGAAAGAACGTTTTGCAGCTCGAAAATGCCCAAGAGGAATCATTTCGGAAGTTTAACGATGTTTTTGCTGAAAATACGAAATTGAAAGGTATAATTGATGAACTAAATTTAAAGCTTCTACGTGAGTATGCCGAGCGTGCCATTCGTGAGGAGACGATGTCTTGGTTCAAGGCATTGACTGAAAGAGATGAGCAGTGTGAGCGATTGAGAGCGGCCTTTGAGGATCAGAGAAATCTTTGTGACGTTCTTCAAAGTCGTTTAAATAGCACAGAGCAGGAACTTGATCGCAGCAGTAAACACCAAGGTGCACTTCTGCAGGAAATGCGAAAAAAGGACGAAGCGTTTCGGACTATTTGGCTTTTTCTTACTCCACAACAGAAGGCGCGATTTATGTCGTTTGGGGATCAGAGTGAGGGTGCGAACGGTACACCCTCTTCCTCACTGCATCAGGGCCACGAGAACGTACAGTTGCGGAGTCAAATACGAACTGTGAAACGACAACTAGAAGAAGAGTTCTTGCGAAACAAGGAGCTGGAGTACAGAATAGAAGATTTGGAAAAGGAAAATGAACTTCTAAAGAAACGGCTTCAGAATTGCGAGGATGAGTATAAGAGTCTTGTTTCTCTTGAGCAGGATTATAGAGAAGAACGTGAACATATGGAGCAGCAGATTGCGTATCTTTTTACCTACATTGAGGAACACAACGCGAAACAGCAAGTTTCTGAACGCCAACTTTGTGAGTTAAAGTCGGAGTGGGAGAGGTTGAATGAAGAGCATCGGAATGCGCAACGTGAGGTGGTGGAGCTGACGGCAAAACTTGAGCAGGCAAAAGGGGAAATTTGGGCACAGGGTGTCGACAACAACAAGCTTAAAGATCGTTTGAAGGAGGTGAAGAAGCAGGATGCGTTATTAGCTGGCCTGCACCGTCAGTTGACCGCCACACAGCACATCGGCGATGAAGCTTCTCGACGACTCGGAATTGCGGATCGAATGCAGCAGCATGTGGCGTCAGAGGCTAATATTTACAATCATCATGGTGATATTATTAAACGGAAAGCCATTCGCCGTAATTCTGACACTCTGCTAAAGGCACTAATGCAGCGTGTTGATTCTGCACAGCGTGTTCGAGGCGCCGCCGTGCAGCCTCTGCCTCTAAACAATCGCGTACAACGCCTCCGCAATGAAGTGTCTCAACAGTTTCGACTTTGTGGTCCGTCCTCTCTATCTTTCAACGGGACTGCGAGAACACGGGAAGAGTCCTTTGGTAGTAGTCACACACATCACAGCGGTAGCCGTCGTCGCAAAAGGACAATGCTGCACAAACCACACGATCTGAGATCGAAGCCACTGTTTCGCTCTTCGAATTTTGTCGTTGCAGAGATCCCTTCTTTTATCATTGATAGGACGCGACGTCGTAATATGTAGACGAATGGGGGGAGCGGTTCTCTTTTTCCTCATTTCACGTGGTTGTGGTCATCTCTGCTGAAGCATTTTTCTTTGACTAGGAATGAAATGAAGTGGGATACTCGAAATTAAGAAGTTTTAGTTTTCGTTGACGTTTTTTTTTTTTTTTTTTTTTTTTGTGAAAGTTCTACGGTTACATCTCTTCTTGCTCTATTGTGCGTATTTGTGGGTGTGTGCTTATTGTTTCTTCTTTTTTTTTTTTTTTTTTCCGGGCCCAGTTGTTTGGAACATCTCACGTTCGCTTCTTGCGGGAGTCTTTTTTTGTTTTTGCGTGCCACTCGCTTTCTTTTACTCCCCACAGAGCGACCTTTTTTTTTTTTTTTTCTTCCTTGAAATGCTTCAACGAAAAAAGCTAACACCATGTCAAAACGCCCATTGGCAATATGTGGTGTTTTGGGTGGCTGCCAGGCAAATGTATTTTTACTAAAACTTATTATAGTGAGAAGCCCCAACACTTTGTATGCCATGACGTTTGTCCAGTACGTAGTTGTTTCACTTCTTTCCATTTTTCTTGTGTCCAACTTTTTTGACTCCTCGCGTGGTGGAGGCTGGTTACGCATACGTTTACGACCAATGCGAATACTGACATCACACAAACTCATTCTTGCATCCTCCTCCTGGCTCATGTCTGTGAGCAGCAACTTGGTATTTGGATTATACATCTCTGTGCCTCTTCACGCAACGTTTAGGTCATCGTCACTTTTGTTGAATATGTTGGCCGGCTACTTTTTCTTGGAGAAACGCTACACACGCTCACAGGTGCTCTGTGCCACAGCTATATCGGGTGGCCTTATTGCTCTTGCAATGGAGAAGTCGCGAAAGGTTCAGAACCTTAATGCTGAGAATGGTATGAAGACATCTGAAGGGAATCTTTGGTGGTTTTTAGGACTGACAGTTCTCGCTTGCACTACTGCCTTTTCCACTGGTCTTGGGATATTTCAAGAGTACATGTATGCAGCGGCACGTCGTCGAGAAGAAGAAACAAAAAAGAGAGGTGAGTCGGTCCAATCATCATTATCACCGCCGCCAATGTGGGCAGAAGCTCTTTTTTTTTCCCATATCATTTCCATACCTCTGTTTTTCCTGCAATCCGGGCGCCTTTTCCGAGAATTTGCCTCTATTTCTTCAGATAGTTACATGCATTTTGCACTGAATGCCCTTACGCAATATGTTTGTATAACTGGAGTTTATATTTTAAATGACAAAACCTCTGCTTTTACATTAATTTTGACGCTGACTCTGCGTAAATTATGTACATTTTCGTTGTCAGTTGCTTACTTTGGTCATTATCGCCATTTTACTATGATGGAGTGGGTGGCAATGGTGACGGCGCTGGCAGCAGGTGCACTATATCCTTTGTTGCCAAAGGCTCACCCGCCGTCAAATCTTTGTGTGAAGCCTACTGAAAAAGGCAGTAAGGAGCGTTAATAAACGCTTCTTGTTTTTTAACTTTGCGTCTTACAACGAGAGGAAATAAAAACTTATATCAGAAAAAAAAAAAATTGAGTCCTTTTTAAAGGGGCTTATGCCTTTTAAGATTTTCATTATTTTCCTTATCCTCTTTCTTGCAATTGGAGTGCCAGCTGAAAATCATTTACATTGCATTTGCAGCATCACTGTTTTTACCTATTTTTCCAATAATACTTTATAACCAAAGCCATGCTCGGGAACAAGAGGAGGGTGTAGAGGGATGAGGAGAAGGTCTGCAATTCACTCTGGCACACTTTTAACATATTCATACGTATAGACGATGGCGATGGAACGCATTCTGACTTTGATTGTGGAATGAGGCGAAATTTCCGTTTCTCTGAAATGCCCTCTTTAAACCGTCTTCCTGCACTGAAACTTTTTTCCTAAAGGAACCAGCAATGTGAGCGGTTTGTACTTTCTTTTACTTTATAATTTGCTGTAGACGCGTCGTTAGACAGCTGCATGACAGGAAAACAATTCGCTCTTGGAAGGTGCATGGGGAAAAGGACGGGCCGCAGGCGCCCCTTGAGTTACTTTAGCTACTAGAGGTGATAAATCTTGTTTTTTTTATTTTATTTTTTTGGACTTTTTTTTTTTTTTTTATGCTTGAACAGAAGAAGGAGGCATTGGCAATGCATTACGTGTTCTGCGAAAGTGTATTTTTCAATTGTTTGACAAAATTTATGGCAAAAGGACACATTTACTTTTGCTGAAGGAGAGGCATGCTGTCGCTCCTTTTCTCCCAAAATTAAGTTTCGCGGAGGACGCCGTGGAGTGTGGGGCTCTGAATTCACAGTGCAAGCGGGTAGCTGCTCGAGGCAAAAAAAAAAAAGGGAAAACAAAAATGGCCGGAATGGTTGGGGATGAAAATATAATTTGTTTGTGACGTAGAAAATAAATATTTGATTTTGACAGAAGAAAGAATAATTAGTAGAGGCATGAGTGGGGTTGGGAAGGTGGCGGCAATAAGTGTAAAAACATATCTGATACCGATAGTTTGAGAGTTTATTCACGGCAAGGCGAAGATGGCAGCGATGGGAATGCAAGGCAGAGGCAACAGCAAAAAAAAGAAAGTGTGTGAATGGTTGCTGCTCGTATCCCATCAAGCCATAGAATTGTGCGCGGGCAAAAGAATTGGTTGTGTACATTTGGTAATATGAATGAAGCGTGAAGTGCATTGCTCTTATTATTGTTTTTTCTATATTTTCTCTGTGAGTTAAAGCGGTTCAAGTCAAAGCGAAGGGGGTAAAACATTACTACAAAAAAAAATATAGCGTTCTTTTTATGTTGTTGCTTGATACTACCGCAGAGTCTCTTTTGCGAGACCCGCAGTACTTGCTGCGGCTATATCACAAAGTCATTCAGTATCTTGTGAAATGTGACCCTTCTTCATTTGCCCGCTCTCTTTCCTCGTCATTTAATCAGATTGACACAAGATATCGTGTGCGCTCTCGTGAGCAGGCAATTGAAGTATGGTCCTTGAAAGGCATCCTACGTCAGATTCTGCCAGTGAGCGTTATGAGCGATAGAGAACTCTCAATCATTCTTGCGATGTTACCGCTTGAGGAATATGGGGGAAATGGCACGGGGAACGGAGGTGATGATGTTTTAGTTAGCCCAGTGGTGTTGTTGTTATGCCTGCGGAAAATGTGTCCTGTGCAAGCTTCTTTAGTGTTAGAAATGCTCCGGAGGATTGACACTAGGCCTAAACGACCCCACCCATATGAATCAGCTTGTGGTAAGGCACTCTTAGTATCCGCACGAGATGGTAGAGGAGATGCTTGTGTTTTTGAGAGAGCCGCGATTCTTGATTACCTGACTGAATCTTATGATATGACACTTTCCGAGGCCTTTTTTCTAACTGACTATTGTTCTATGGGACTCCCTCCGTCTTCCTCCACAGTAGCTATTGATGGTTCTTACCTTTACGCGTTTCTGTATCAAAGGCCGTTGCCTTCTGATGTGAAGTATCCATTACTGATGTCCGTCTTTGCTGAGGCGATTTGTGATCCGAATAGTGGTACACCTTTGGGTACGCTTGCCCTTATTGAGGGACTGCATCGTTTGTCGCCAAAACCAAATCATGGCATGCATCGTGAGGAAGTTTTTGACGTTAATATCGATACTGGAGGAGAGCTGGAGCATTATTCTCTGACACGCAAGTCTTTTGAGGATTTATGTAGGTATTTGCGTGTTGGTCTGTTGTTAGAGGAAGTGCATCAGCTATTCTATTATTTAAGAGGAGAAAGTTCTGAAGAGCTTCTCTCTGCTCACACACTCCTTTGTGAATTTAAACGACATTTTGTGCCTGTGAGTGAATCTCTGTTTCAAATTGTTGAAGAGGCAGTGCGGCGCTATTTGGTGAAATCTGGTGGTATGTTGGCCCTTCCACGTTTACATCTTGCGCTTCATGGTGGTCCACTTTCTGTCGCAAGGTTCATTGATGTGCTTCGTGTGGCGGGTGTTCCGGAGGCCGTGAGTGACGTTGAACTTGAGTGGCTGCGGTTCAAGGGATGGGATCGAGAACGTCTGGTGTCGCTGCTTTCTGGTAGATTTCCAGCAAACCGGGAGGCTCTTGTCCGGCAACTTTTTGATCAACTTAAAAATGTGAAGGGTATTACAATGAAACAGGACCACGTTGAAGTGGAACGTGTGTTGGCATTGTTTCACCCTGAGAAGGTAGAAGGTACTCTCATCGGTAGCATTGACGATTGGCGTTTTGTGATGACGCAGTGTTTTGATGGAAATGTATCCAAAACTTTGACGTATGATCAGTTTTTTTATTTCTGGCGTGCTGTTTCTGCGGCCTGCAGCGATGACTCTGTGTTCACGATGATTCTCTGGCGTTCTTTCAACATGCATACGAGCCGCTGACCCCTCCCCAATGCTGGTTTCTTTCAGCGGACGATAGGTTGGCAGTTGTCAGTGTTTTTTTTTTTGTATTATTATTATTATTATTTTTTTTTTTTTGCTGTTGCTATCTCGATAGGATAAATTTTTTGTATTGTTGAGTCTTTTTTCTTAATTTTGTGTGTGTGTGTGTGTGTGCGTTTCTGTGTTGAGTCTTAATTTATGTTATTCTTTGTAACGGTAACAACTTTTAATTTTGAAGAAGGTAGTTTTTTTTCCTTTTCTCTCTTCTACTTCTTTTTACCGCAAATTTGGGGATAATGTGTGAGCTTTTGCTTACCCTTTCAGCTGCTTTTTACTTTAATTAGGAACGCTATGCATGAAAACGATATGCTAGAGACCATTGCTCTTGTACCCGTAGGCCTCGCGTTGTGGGCTCTCGGCAAAAGACAGGCCAAACAGCAGGAACTCATTAGTAGACTCCAGACAACCATAGGCAAACAAAGAGAAGAGTTGGACCGACTTCTGCAGACAGAAAGTGCAACGGGTTCTGCGCGTTTGGTGACGTATTCCATATTGGTGGCGCTGGGGGTATATGGCTCTTTTCTTCTCACAAAATGTGTCCTGTTGACATCCTTGCA